ATATTTGCAGCAAAAGGCTTATAATTTTGTTTGTCATTCGAATAGAAGTCAGATTAAATATAAAAAAAAATCTATTCGAAAAATTAATCATCTACAAAAAAAAAATAAAATTTTACATAGTAAAATCGGAAAGTCTAAACAAACACACAAACAACGCATCTCTAAAGTTCATTCTATAGCTCGTAAAACACCTATTATAACTGATAAGAAATTAAAATTGGCAATTCAAGATCGGCTTATGTTAAATAAAAACAGTTTAGTGCTAAAACTGTCTCTATGGCTATACAAATTTGTGAAATTGGAGAAATGTCTTATCGATCCACTATAACTTGTACCAAAAAGGTAATTGAATAGTTAATAGACAAAGAACCAAATAAGTGGTTTTTTGTTAATACACTTGTTGGATAGCATCAAAATGTGTCGAACATTTATGTTATTAATGTAATATTGCTAAACATTCTAAATGGTTTACTTTTGGGATCATAGCGAATGAGTCAACATGTGCGATAGTAAAGTTTTTGTCATATGTTTTATGTATTGGGATTTAGTTAGTAACGAGCCCAAAGTTACTTTATTGGAACTTCAAGATTTAACTCAATGCACCAGGACATTAATCGCGCATACTGTTATTGAATCATATAAGCAATATCAACTAGACCCAACTAAATGCTTAACTTGGACGACAAATAATATAGCATATATGTCAGGTTATAAAAACGGCACAGTGGCTTTATTTAATAAGGAGATTAATTCAAATTCATTTAGAATTTCGTGTGGTCTTCATTTGGCACATATAATGATGATAAATTTTGAAAATGCCGCATTTGGAAAGCTCAAAATCGAAAAAGGATTTTTAACTCAAAAACATTCTTTTAATTTACTTTACCTAATTTGGCAATTGCATAACGGGTATAGTGAAAGTAATAAAGACAATCCAATGAATATGAAGTCGTCTTATATATTTGATTTATATGCTAAACTATTTGGAATTCAATTATCTAAATTTCAAAAACCCTTACAGCAACGGTGGTTATACGAATTACAAGTGGCAAAACAACTAGTTGAAAAAAGAGAGTATTTGGAAAAATTTACTTTTTGGTTTCTAAATAAATTAAAATTACAAAAAAAAATACCAAAAAAGTATCTTGAAAAGTGGGAACTTCTTTAACAATGGCTCACTGATCCAATTTTAAAAATACAAATTGAGTGCCTTGTTAAATTTGGTGAACAAATTTACAAATCTATTATGAATTTTCTTACTAGATTTGATAATAAACCACGAGTTCTTAAATCGGATGGTCAACTATTACTACTTTTACCTGGTCATCAGGCCTATAAGATGCCTGATACAGTTATTAAATGGATAGGAACTTTATATAGAATTAGTAATAATATTTGTTTATTCTTTGATATGGAATTGTGGAATGCTATTGATATCTTAGATGATAAAGATTTTGAACATTTTTTTAATAGTTTAGAACTTGGTATCATTAAGGCCATAAATTTTTTAGAAACTTGGATGGATATGTAGCTTCACCTTCTGTTAAGTGTTTGTCGACTAGGTGGTAAATACGGTCACAAGTTTGCTAAAAGTTATTTGTATGTGAGGTTAAAAAGACAACGAAGTCAAATTCCTAGTTTTAAAGAGTTATGTTTTGCAACTCTTTTAAAATCTGACATTGAACAACCAAATTCTAACAACTTTGGTTTGTTACAGGCAATTGAAGATCCATTATTTTTATATGAATTAACAAGTTTTGCTAATTCTGACATATTACCTATTCATTTTTTTCCTTTACTATATGAATTCGTCAAATGCCGAATTTATTACATTATTACTCACCAACAACAGGTTGAAGGATTGTTTAATAAGTATGACCTCAAATGTCATACAAACATGAACCTCAAAACCAAAGAAGCAAAACTTCGCCTTTCAGGAGTCAAAAAAATTTCTATATCAGACGAGAAATTAGCAATTCAAAGAAAGAATAAAAGAAGAAAATTGAACAAATCTGATGATAAAAAACAGATAATGTTTGGAGAAATAGAAGCCGACAATTTGTTTCATAGTTTGTTTACTAAATAAAAAGAACCGTTGTTTACTAAATAAAGAGAATAATTTGAAAAGTTAAATTTCCGAAATTTCCGAAATTACCTATTTACAAACCGGTAAAAAATCCTACATAATAAATTTATATGTGACCCTGACTATTATTTGATTTAATTAGTTTGATGATCACCCTAACGTGACATGCACATTATGTTCGAATATATATATTTGGAAAGGTGAATTACTAATTTCTGAAAATAATTGTTAGATATTTTCGTCACCGGGTTCTTGACTATTGGCGATTTTGAGTTGAAAAGCAGTGTAAAAAAATTCGATGTGCGCATGTGCGGATCGCACATGAAATTTCTTATTTTAATATAAAGCAAGCATATAATCATATGAGTGCGCATCTACTTTTCAAACTGACATTGTTGAAATGAATGATATGCGGATACTTCATATCTATCTGAATATCAAATTTTTTTGTAATATTAGATGTACTTGTTATCCTGACTTACGATACCACGATGGAGTTTTTTTTTGTAATATTTTTTTGGGCGGGTCAAGAACAATGTTTTTGCTTAATTAATATCTGCTTTTTTTTGTAATATATACAGTAGTTAAATATTGTAAATATTTAATTTTTTTTCTATAGTATTGTGTTTAAAGTACTAAGTAGTTTAGAAAAAGGTGAAGGGAACCCTTGATATAAACACTTTAAAATATATATATATACCTTTTTTATACAATAAACTTCAGCACGAAGATTTTCTGCGGCAATAAATAGCCAATTCCGTCCGTGATAAAATCAAATTTCTCCGTGCATCACAATTTTGCGCATAAATATTTACAATAGATTTATCGTTATATTTTATTCTGCGCTTTGTTTTTAACTAAGTACTGTATTAGTATATACTAATCTTGTAAGTTCCAATATTACTATATACGGTATAAGTTTTAAAGTTTTATATAATCGTTATACTTGAATTTCATGTTCAACATGAATTAGCAAATCATATGAACAATTATTCTACATGTGTAAATTATCCGTTACGTATTCCAGTATTCTGCGCAGAATCACGGAATTGGTGATTATAAAAATTGTCCTGTCACATGATGCTCGGAAAACAATTATAATTGCGAAGCACCACCTGATCCTGAATTTTCATTGGCTAATTTATATCAGAACATCACATGACCAAAAAATGCAAAACTACAAGGAATATTTTAATTCAAGCATAATACGCAAGCCGATTTATAAACGAAATACTCGGCCATTTACTCGAATCTAATGTAAATTCTTTTTGAATACTTGGATAACTTCCTTTCTACTGCAAAAACCTCATATAACCCTTTACAATTAATCTACCACCCTACGCGTTTAGCTAGATTTTATAGTATTATACTTTGAATTGGACCAATTGTCATGTCAACACTAATTATTATATTTCGCTCAAAAAGATTTTTATTGTACAATATAAAAATGATGTAGTTTAAGCGACAGAAATTAAGAAAATGAACTTTGAGTTGTTTGATTTTATAAAGGGGGTACGAGCATCATTGGAGACGAAATCTCATTACGTTTTGCTTCACCTAAAAGTTGCTCAACGATGGTCAATCCAAAGAGCAACGAGGTACCTGGTCCACGACTGTAATTTGTGTCAACACATTCATAATGAGTATGCATAAAAAAAAACATATATGCAATTACTGAATTAAAAGCATAAACGAACCTAGTGATAACTTTATTGTGGATAACAACACTGTCTTCTTGATAACTGTATCCTAGAATACAAATGATTGTACTTGATTTATATGAACGTTAACTTTAAAAATTAAAGGTCAAAATTATTAGGTTATTAAAAACCTTCCAATCTTTCTTTGATGGATGGATGAGAGGTAATCTTGCCCCCTAAGTTGATTCCCGCAGTTTTTATAGCAAGTGGACCTAACATTCAAAGTGAATGGTTAATTTTACATCACGATTAGAGGTGCAGGTGAATCGTCCCAATGATGCCGTAACTATATTAAACAATTAAAAAAAGTTACGGTAAACATGCCGTAACTTTTTATAATTGTTTAATATAGTTACGGCATGCTACGGCATCATTGGGACGTTCACCTGCACCTCTAATCACGATTATATATTTCTAATCATTACGAAAATTTTGTAAATTACCAGCACAAATCGCGGCGACGATCTTGCCCTTATTATGAGCAGAAACCAACAAATCTTGAATTTTTTGGCTTGAAGAGAGAGTTTCCGCTCTTAATTAAAGACATAGCTTATCAAATTGAAGTGGCATAAGAGAATAACAAAACATTCGCGAATTAGATATTCATAATTACCCTTTCATGCCTCCAGGAATTACAATAACGTCATATACATCCTTTGGATATTTGAAAAATTGTTATTTTATTGAATTTTGTAAAAAAAAAAAATTGGTAACTATAAAGAATAAAATATTACAAAATCGCTAATACTCGAGAATGCAATATCAGGTACAATCATAACACCACGACTACATTTTGCGTAGTTCGCGTTTTCTAAGGAGAACCCGGCAACCGTTACGTCGAGTTGAGCACGTCGTAAAACATCAACTTACAAAAATTAAAAGAAATAGTTAATACTAAATAACTACTATTCTAATAAAAGCTTATTTTATAAATTACAAACTGGTTGTCACGGCTTCCATTTCTTCGGAGCCATCTGCCACCAGAACAAGAGCTTTTTTGCTTTCTTGATTAGTCATATCGGCAAACCGCAGTATAAAGAAAGAAACAGTTGTACAGTACCTTATAGCGATTCATAACGTGGGTGATCACATGTCACTTATCTAATAATCACCTTTTTTGATATCATCACAAATTTTTACTTTTTCAAAAATATCAATTCCCTTTTCTTGTTCTTGAGAAGGGTTTTCGTTAATCATAAATACGACTGAACAATATGGACAAAATACCTGAACATAGAAAAAATGCTTTTAAAGCAAAGTCTGTGTTTAAAGCTGAAGAGTTACGCCGCCGCCGTGAAGAACAACAGATCGAAATTCGCAGAAAAAACCGTGAAGAGTCTTTAGCAAAGCGTCGTAATCTTAATGTTCCTGCATCCCCTGATTCTGATGATGAGTCTGCCGTTGCAGTCATCAATGCTCAGGTACAGTATGTTTTTCTTATTCAAATTTTGGCGAAACGTTCTTTAAAATGAAACATATATCATGTACTACGGTAATTCTATCATACTAAGTAAATATTGTAGCATAGATACGGTATAGAAATTATATAGATCATAGTAACTTTTCTATTCTTTGGTGTAATGTGTTTTGGGTTTCTTAATGAAGAAATACAACTTTTTCATTATATATTAGATATTAATTTGTTCAGAATTTATATAATTTATATTAATATCTTAATGATCTTCACTTGTTTAGCTCCAAGAGCAGTTGCCTGGCATGATATCAGGTGTCTTCTCTGACAACGTTGAAGAACAGCTGCAAGCCACTACAAAGTTCAGAAAGTTGCTGTCTAAAGAACGAAATCCTCCAATCGAGCAGGTTATTGAATGCGGTGTTGTCTCACGTTTCGTTGAATTTCTGAGATCTCCTCATTCCCTTGTTCAAGTAAGTTTATAAAATTCTAATTACCTTTATCTTAATTCAGATTTTGGCCATGTTTTAACATACTCGTTTTAAAATTAATACAGTTTGAGGCGGCTTGGGCTTTAACAAATATTGCCTCTGGATCATCCCAACAAACTCAAGTTGTAATTGACGCTGGAGCTGTCCCAATCTTTGTTGAATTATTGAGTAGTCCTGTCGCTGATGTTAAAGAACAAGTAAAATATTTTTCTTTCTATTTGATTCGTATAACACATAAATGCTTTAACTAAAACTATCATCATCAGGCTGTTTGGGCCTTAGGCAATATTGCAGGTGATAGTCCTCCGTGTCGTGATTACGTTTTGCACGAAGGGGCACTTAGACCTTTATTGTCCATTTTGAATGAACACCATAAACTTTCGATGCTTCGTAACGCTACTTGGACCTTATCAAACTTTTGCCGGGGAAAAAATCCTCCACCTGATTGGAGTTTGGTAAGTATTTAAATTATGTTTACCATATTCTCTAAATATGGTATTTAAGCATGATAATTTATCAATTCATAAATATTCACCATTTTTATGTATCAGATTTCTCCTGCGCTTCCTGTTCTCGCAAAGCTGATTTATTCTATTGATGACGAAGTTCTTATTGATGCGTGTTGGGCAATTTCGTATTTATCAGATGGAAGCAATGAAAAAATACAAGCCGTTATCGAGTCTGGTGTTTGCCGCCGGCTTGTTGAACTTTTGATGTAAGTACTACTTATTAAATTTTATCAACTTATTCACATTCATAAACTTATAAAAACAATTTCTAGGCATTCTTCTACATCCGTTCAGACACCTGCTCTACGTTCTGTCGGAAATATTGTTACTGGTGACGATGTTCAAACTCAAGTCATTATTAATTGTGGCGCACTTCCAGCTTTACTAAGCTTGTTGTCTAGTCCAAAGGATGGTCTTCGAAAAGAAGCATGCTGGACCATTTCCAATATTACTGCTGGCAATTGTGCACAGATACAGGCAGTTATAGATGCCAATATTATACCTCCACTCATTAATATTCTGCAGCACGCAGATATCAAAACTCGCAAAGAAGCCTGTTGGGCTATCTCTAACGCAACATCTGGTGGTTTGAATAAACCTGAACAAATTAAATATCTTGTCAGTCAAGGATGTATCAAGCCTCTTTGCGATTTACTGACTTGCATGGATAATAAGATAATTCAAGTTGCTTTAGATGGTCTCGAAAACATTTTAAAAGTTGGTGAATTGGAAAAAGTTAATGGTGTAAACCAATTTTCATTGTTTATTGAAGAAGCCGGCGGTATGGAGAAGATTCACAATTTGCAGATTCATGACAATATGGAAATTTATAAGAAAGCGTACCATATAATTGATCTATATTTTGCGGACGATGACGAGGAGGAGGATAGAACCCTGGCTCCTGAAGTAGATATGACTTCTAATCAATTTGTTTTTCAATCAGATTTTAATTTACCCCAAACTGGTTTCCACTTTGGTGGCGGTGGTGGTGGTGGTGGTAACTAGTGGTTGGACCCGTCTGAAAAATCATGACCCGGGTAAACCCGCGGGTCACCCGGGTGGATAAATGATAAAATAACATAAAATTCTATCTTTCTTCTATAATTATAATATGAAA